ATCTATCTATCTATCTATCTATCTATCTATCTATCTATCTATCTATCGTGATCCTGGTCACTGAATCCAGCTCCTTATGAATATTAGGCAAATGCCCTGATACAAGGCCATATCCCCAGGCCTCCTTATTTTTTTCTGTGAGATAGGATCTTGTTAACTCATTCAGGCTGTCCTAGGATTCAGCCTGAAGCCTATGAAGGCCTTGTACTTGCGATTCTCCTACCTTGGTGTTCGAAGTAGCTAGGATTACAGACCTGTGCTGACAAGTCCAGTTTTAATCTTTATGTATAAACATAATTCTAAGTGAGTCTCAAAGCCTATTCCATATAATAAGATTCTTTCAAACAAAAACACCTGTGTCAAGTTGAGTGTGACATTATAAACATTCATGTCTATAATCCCAACTCTTGGGAGCCAGGGGAAGGAGGATCACAGCAAGCTTGAGGCCTGCCTAGGCTATATAGCTAGGCCCTGTTTAGAAAATAAAACCAAAATCCTAATGATGCAGTCAACTTTCTGTATCATGAGTGCTCTTCCCTTCTGTCCCTTTTGTCTTTTTGTCACTTCTTCCCCTTTATCCTGTCCCGGCACTTTATGAGCCAGGAGAACACAGGACAGATTCATCAAGGCAGAACCTTTTTTCCTTTCAAACAAGGAGAAACAACAACAGCAAACAAACAAACAGAACCCAGACATATTGAGCAGGACAGGCCAAGTGGGAGGAGGCAGGAGCAAGTTGATCTTGTAGGGAGAAAAAAGGCCTGTGGTATCTGTCATGGAAGCAGTCTGGAGCACCAGTCCTTTAGAGTTTGGGGCTTAATCGGGTGCGTTGGGGTTGTTAGAGTCACTATTAGCTAACATCTATTTGAGAAATAGAGCGAGTGCCACCTATGTGGGGCAGATGCCCACTTCGTGGCCAGGGGGATAGTTAACGCTCACACTGCTCTTGCTGTTCCATCTGGGTGTCTGGTGCTAACTGTAAGGTACCTGTGCAAAGGCCACATGCATTTCTTTCTTCTCAGGATCACGGCTGATTCCCTCATCCAAGCTACTGTCCAGAGCCGAAAGGCCAGGATCTGGGACTCTTAGCTTACTAAGACGACACATATCTTGGAGGCTCTAGGGTCGGCTTGCTTCATTTTTAATTGGTCTGGTCCCCTGGCTTGTTCCTGGACCTCTGAGACTGGCCAGGATCCCGTTGGAAGCTAGTCAGAACAGGAGGGCTCCATGGCTCCATGGCCAGTGTGGGCTCAGACTCCACTCCCTGTTCGGGAGGCCAGGAAATGCTAATGAGCTGGAAGAGTGAGGTGGGACAGTTGACTGTGATGTTTATGGGGAAGCATCTCTGGAAGGCTGCAGCCCCTTCCCGTTCTCTGAGCCCGTGCTCCCATCTCTGCAGGATATCAACAATGCCTGGGGTTGCCTGGAACAGGCAGAGAAGGGCTACGAGGAGTGGCTGCTGAATGAAATCCGGAGGCTCGAGAGGTTGGACCACCTGGCAGAGAAGTTCCGGCAGAAAGCCTCCATCCACGAAGCCTGGACAGATGGTGAGCCAGAGCCAGCTCCACCTCCCCGGTTTCTGCTGCCTCCCAGTTTCTCCTTTCTGACTCTCACCTGGCCACCCGCTACAATTCCTTTCATCTGCTTTTGTGTGTGTTGTCTTGTCTGTCTCTTAATAGTTCTCTGGCATCAGACAAGTTCATTACCCTATGGGTTGCTTCAGTTTTGTGTTTGTGAAGTTGTGACGGTAGTGCCAGCCTCCTGAGTTTGTAAGAATTAAATGGTGAGGTCGCAGGCATGCTGAGAAGAATTCCTGCCAGCGGTTTTGTGAGAGCACTGCTCTTTTCTGTTCTCACCGCCGTGTTTGTTTTTTTCTCAGTCCTTCAGTGTGGCTGTCAGCCCTGACCACTGTCCCTGAGAAGCAGGGTCAGTTTGTCTGTTTCCAAATCTGCTGACCCTCCTGTTGCCTAGGCTGGTGTCTGGTGTCTGCTTATTGATGGCCAAGGTTGTTATATGGGATTGGGCTTTTTCTCAGAGGCTGCCTTGGGTTAGAGCAGTTGTTCTCAACCCATGGGTCATGTCCCCTGTGGGGGTCAAACATTCCTTTCATAGGAGTTGCCTAAGACCATCAGAAAACACAGATATTTATGATTCATAAGAGTAGCAAAATTACAGTTATGAAGTAGCAACAAAAACAAAATGTTATGGTTGGGGGGGGGTCACCACAACATGGGGAACTTTATTAAAGGGTCACGGCATTAGGAAGGTTGGGAAACACGAATACAGAGAGGACTAGCTCCTGCCTGTTTCCTTGTGCTCTTCTGGCCGCATTGGCTGGAGCCCCCGAGGCAGAGCCAGTGGTCACTGGTGCTGTAAGATTTCTTTATTCAGCTCTGGTTTGTCCTCTTTTGGCCTGGGGCTGGAAGTGAAGAGGGAGAATCACATTCTGTAGTCATCTGAGAGTGGCCTGGCTTGGTAGGAAAACACCCAGCTAAGGGGGTGCATTTAGGATCCCATAGAAGTACAAAGTTGGGGGGGGGATTGGATGACACCGATCCACCCACTTGTGGTTTTTTGTTTTATTTTTGTTTTGGTTCGAAACATTTTCATCCTGTAGCCTTGGCTAACCTAGAACTCAGAGTGAAGACCAGGCTGTCCTGGAACTCAGAGATCCACCTGCCTCTGCCTTCCTAGTGCTGGGATTAAAGGCATGCGCCACCACACCCAACTGGAATTCCACTTCTTGAGACTAAGGAATCAACCCTAACCTCTGAGGAAGTTGTGTGCACAGGAGTATCTGAAGTGACATTTACCACAGGGCAGGCTGGGGATGGGGATAGGGTGTGGGGCATACAGAGCAGTGAGAAGCGCTCTTGGAGGAATCTGGCCAAGAAAATACCCACATCTGTGCGTTCTGTGTCTCTGAATTCAAGCAACTTTGAAGCAAAATATTAAAAGCAAAAGGGAATTAAGTCTGGGTTGAGCTCATACAGACTTTTCTTGTCATAATTCCCTGAAGAATATGGCTGTACAGCTAGTTATATAGCATTTACACTGTAAGCAACCTGAATGCTTTAAAATATATGGGAGAACATATGGAGATTATATGCATATACTGTTCCCTTTTGTATATGGGATTTGAGCATCTTGGGGTTTTGGTATCCTTAGGGGTCCTGAGAATAAGTCCCCTATAGATCCTGAAGGACCACTGCACCCAGGAAGACCATGAAGCCACAGGAGATTCTGATGTGTGTGTGCTGCTAAATAGTTAAGGCAGAAGACAGAATTTATACAGGAGTAGATCAATGTGTTTATTTGTAAATTAAATTTAAGCTTACTCTGCTATGATTTGGGGGAGGGGAGATCAATACCAGAAGATAGAAAGAAATGCTGTACTATTGGCTCTTAGCCATGGACCAAGAAGGTATGAGAGTCCTGTGATGGTGCACACACAGAGCAGCTTGGAAGCTTTATAGGGAGATCTTTTCTCATTCCCGCCTCCCTTCTCTTAGAACAGGCCCCAAAATGCAAGAGCCACCCTTGCCCTAGAGCAAGGACGTTAGTGATGGTCTGAGGAGGCTCAAGCCGCCAGTGGATGCAAGCGGCAGAGGGCCTCGACGTACTGACTACACAGAGAATGTCTGGGAAGGGGGTCCCCGAAAGGCTCCCAGGACTCATCCATAGTAACTAGGGACATTCTAAAGCCAGTACCTATGAAGCGCTTGGCTTGGTTGTTTTGTTTTATTGATTTTCCTGATTCTTCCATGGGGCGTAGATTGCTGTGTTTCCTGTTGTTATATTCCTGTATGGCCTTCATATACAACTAATTTAAGTGCCCTGGAAATGCTTCCTGGAAGGCAGTGGTCTTCCCAGTCTCTCCTCATAATTGGATATTTTTGCTGCACATCTCTCTTACTCCTTTGATTGCTGTACAGTGAGCACCTCCATGGGAAATATCCCAGCAAGCAGAGCATCTGGGGCGCAAGAATTAGATGACCAGAAAAACACGGTTGCCCAGCTCTTGCTCAGCTGTGTCTCTCCCCCGCTCACCCCAGGCAAAGAAGCCATGCTGCGGCAGAAGGATTACGAGACAGCCACTTTGTCCGAGATCAAGGCCCTCCTCAAGAAGCACGAAGCCTTCGAGAGTGACCTGGCTGCCCACCAGGACCGAGTGGAGCAGATCGCTGCCATCGCCCAGGAGCTCAAGTAGGCCTGCTCTGATCTCTCTCCCTGTGGTGGCCCCAGTGTGACGCTGAGGTCTGCTTTTTCAGCTGCTCTGCGTGAGGGTGGGAAGTAAGGGGAGCTACAGACAGACGCTGCTTGAGAGGGAAGGAGAGTTGTGCCCACATGGGAAAGGAGGCGGTGCAGAAGGCAAGGCCCCTTCCTGGTGGGAGAGAGCCTGAAACATTCCGTTCTTGTGCAGACATTTGGCCATCACCTATGACCAGGGCAGGACCAGAGGGTACCGAAACCCTGTTTTATTTGATTTTGCCTTTTAACTATTTTTCTTCCTGTTAGCTTAAAAGTAATGGGGTTTGTTACACTTTCATACTTTCTTGTTTTGTTTTTAAATTGTGTGAGAGTGTATGTGTGTGCACACAGGCATGTGCCTGCCATGGTGCAGTTGTGGTCGGTGGACAACTTGAAGGAAGTGGTTTCTCAACTCTGCTTTTACTGTGGGCTGCAGGGCTTGAACTCGGGTCTTCAGGCTTGCACACAAGTGCCTTCACCCACTGGACCATCTTGCCAGCCCAGATTTTGTTTTCTTTGCTTTCTCTTGAGACAGGGCTCAAACTGTAGCCTAGGCTGACCTAAGAACTCAGTGTGTAGCTCAGGTTAGCCTCAGACGTGTGGCAGTTCTCCTGTCTCAGCTCCTCGGGAGAGTGCTGAGGTTACAGACATGAGTCACTATGCCCAGCTCCCAAGCCCTAGTCCTGGGCTCTGAGCCTTAGGCCTTAGCAGCTTTCTGCTATTGGCCGTTAAAAGTCACCACAAACTTTGGTTTGGGAGGGGGGTCGGTGCAGTTTTTGGAGGGGAGCAGCCGCCTTCGGTTTTCCTGCTCCCGGTTTCTTGAATGCCAAAGAGGCAGGCATGGGAGGGTGTCAGAAGGTGTGCAGAGAAGAGCGCCCCCAGTCCCTCCAGCACTGTTAGTGCTCCTAACATCCCCAGGGACAGGAATGATGGTCTTCCCACCCCCCTCAACCTATGTCGCTCATCACGTGACTCCTTGTCTCTTCCCGCTCCACAGCGAGCTGGACTATTACGACTCACCAAGCGTCAATGCTCGTTGCCAAAAGATCTGTGACCAGTGGGACAATCTAGGGGCCCTCACTCAGAAGCGGAGGGAAGCTTTAGAGGTGAGGACCCCACTGTGCCACGCGCCTCTTCCTTCCCCCTGGTTCTTTGCTTTGTAAGCGGTCATGGTTCCCTGGACCATCCCGATCCCTGGCCTAAATGGGATGACTCGCTTTGACCCAGAATGTGGGAGTGGAGATCCTCCTCCTGTCCCAACTATAACTCACCCTGCAGTTCAGTGAACTTGTCAGCCCAGCCTTTTGAGAGTTGTCCTGTTCTGTAAACCAGACCCTCGTGAGGCCAGGACAAGTAATACCAACGTCAGACGACCTGTCTGTCAGTTGACAACCAAAACCCAGAGCCGCTCTAGAACTGGTTCTTTCCGCCTCATCCAGTCTAGTGGCTCTAGACCAAGCTGTCTGGGGGCTTGACTCTGGGTGTCACTCCGCTAAACATCCCGCCCCACTTGGTCGTCCCAGCGAACAGAGAAACTGCTGGAGACCATCGATCAGCTGTACCTGGAGTATGCCAAGAGGGCTGCGCCCTTCAACAACTGGATGGAGGGAGCCATGGAGGACCTGCAGGACACCTTCATCGTGCATACCATCGAGGAGATCCAGGTGGGCATCGCAGGGGGCTGACCCTCTTTAGGATAAACTGAGGAGCAATACCCCAAGGGTTCCATAGACTAAAGTATTGGCATATGAAATCACATTTAGTTTTGGGGTTGTTTTTTGTTTTTTGTTTTTTGTTTTTGTTTTGTTTTAAGATTTATTTGTTGTGCAGCTGGGTGTTTTGCCTACATGTATGTACGTATACCACATATGCATACAGTGCCCAGATCCCCCTGGAACTGGAGTTACAGATGGTTGGTGGTGGTCATGTGTATACTGGGAACTGAATCCTGGTCCTCTGCAAGAGCATCAAGTGCTGTTAACTGCTGAGTCATCTCTCTAGCTCCCCCCCCCCCCCCCCCCCTTTTTTATTTTAAGATAGGGTCTCACTATGTACTCCTGGCCAGTCTGGAACTCATTATGTAGACTATGCTGGCTTCACACTCACAGAGCACCTCCTGCCCCTGCCACCCAAGTGCTGGGACTAAAGGAATATGCCACCATACCCAGCCTAGCACTTGAAATATTTTGACAAGCCAATATATGTCCATACTATGATATCCTAAAGATAAAGGGGTGCTAAAACAAGATTTCCCTCCCATAGGCCTTTCTAGCCCCCTGCTCCCTTTTTCAGCGGTAAGTAGTCTGATCATAGTATTTGCATATATAGGTAAATGTATTTATTTATGTGTTCTTTGTACCTTTTCTTTTGTACATACAAAAATGTAGACTATTGTATATTAAAAAAAATATTTATATACTTGGGAAATAGCATGTCCCAAACCTTGACTTTTAACACTAAGCCTAGTGCTCCCATCGGCCCCCACCTTCCTCAATTCTTATGTAACTGTAAAGCATTAGATCAAAACGTTTGCAGGGCTAGGGATATAGCTCAGTTGATAGAGTCCTCGTCTAGTATACGTGAAGCCATGCACTCTGTTCCAACCGCTGCCTAAGTTGAGTATGTTGATGCATGTCTTCAGAAACAGCCTTCTCAAGGCAGAGGAAGAGAAAAGGGTGGTCTCCGGGAAGCTGAAGGAGCTACTGTTGGAGGAGGTGACCTGGGGAGCAGGGCTAGCTCCGCCCTCACATCACTGCTCTCACAGTAGGGTATTGAACGCCCCCAAACGGTGGCTGCTAACTGTACCAGCTCCCAGGATACAGCTGTGGCTCAGCTGGCTCTGCCTTTCCCTCTCTCTAACTCCCCTGCCCTGCTGGCTCTCTGTCATAAGAGCTTGATTTGATGGCTCCAGGTCTTCAAACTTGAGCTTCAGGACCCTTCAACCCTTTATTTGGGACCTCCTGGGTTTCCTCTGCTTGTCTTGTCTGAGGAGAGCACTCTTCTGAGTATCAATACTAATCCTGCCACTTGTCTTTTCAGGGACTGACCACAGCCCATGAGCAGTTCAAGGCCACCCTCCCGGATGCAGACAAGGAGCGCCTGGCTATCCTGGGCATCCACAATGAAGTGTCCAAGATTGTTCAGACCTACCATGTCAACATGGCGGGCACCAACCCCTATACAACCATCACGCCTCAGGAGATCAATGGCAAATGGGACCATGTAAGTTGAAGGGCTGGTGGGCATTGTACATTTTTTTTTTAAGGGCAGAATTTTTATCTTTATCTCATTAGTTTTCATTTATTCATCATCAAATGAATTTCCGGTCCAAGCTGACATCTTCACTCTTGTTGCATTCTGAAAATGGGTCTCCCATTTTCTCACCTGAGAGTATGTGACGGGTTTCTGGCCTACCCACAGAGTCCCGTGGTTGTTCCTCCTTCAGGTACGGCAGCTGGTGCCCCGGAGGGACCAGGCTCTAACAGAGGAGCATGCCCGCCAGCAGCACAATGAGAGGTTACGCAAGCAGTTTGGGGCACAAGCCAATGTCATTGGGCCCTGGATCCAGACCAAGATGGAGGTGAGTTTTGTCACGGGAAGCAAGCTGGGTATGTTCTGTCTCTACCTACGTAGCACCATTCCTGCCAGCCAAGTCATGTGCTTACTAGGAAGCAGACCATGGGGGACTGAGATGGGAAACCATGATGATAGTTCAGTTGCAGGGGATGCTGATGGGTTGATCCCTGTGTCTGATTGGAGCAGAGTTGGACGCTATTAAGGAACTGTCTATGAAAGTTCCACAGGAAGGGCAACTGGATGCCTGGGTGAGCTCACTCCCTCGGAGTTGCCTTGTCTCTGTTACTGCTTCCTGGCAGCAGGCCTGATCCTTTTCAGAAAGAGACTGAGCCTGTTAACAAGTATAGAATATTTTGTGGGATGCAGAGTATCAGGGCAAAGTGTGGCCAGAGTGTGATCACTGAGCATCTTGAGCTCAGAGTCCAAGTCAAGTTTATGTGGATCTACACGCCCACACACACGCCCACACACATGCACACATGCTCTTGTGCATGCATCTCCAAGACTCTACTTGTAAATGCTCGATAAATATTGACAGCACTGGCCTGAATGAACAAAACTGCTTGCGCCTAGAACCACGTACATGAGTGAATGGCTGGCGGAAGTGTACATTAGGACTGGCTTACGGGGATGGGTGGGACTCAGTGGGGCCCGGACAGCCATCCTAGGAGGCAAAGCAGCAGGAGCAAAAATAGTTATAGAGGAGGCATGAGGCGCATACTAGGTCAACTGAGAAATATGAGAGGGCCTGGCTTAACAGGTAATAGATGGGAGATGGTTGGGAACAAGGCTCTGGAAAGTATTTAAATGGCTAGCAAAAGAACGAGCACCCAGGTCAGCCATTGATCCTGCATGCCAACCCTCTCCTCAGGCTGAGAGATATGTGGTTAGTGGAAGATATTTCAGCCAGAGTCAAGGCTTATTATAGAACTATAGGGTGTAGCTTCCTCAGCAAGGTACATCCATGCTAAATATGTTTTCATGCCAAGTGTTGGCAGCGTTGGCCTCTCTAGGGCCGTGATACTAGCAGAGGTGGCCGCGAGGGACTGGCCCCTGCCCCGTGAGTGCAAAGTGGGGTGGTCTGACAGGACGTCTCCTCCCTGCTGAGCAGGAGATTGGGAGGATCTCCATTGAGATGCACGGCACCCTGGAGGACCAACTGAGCCACCTGCGGCAGTATGAAAAGAGCATCGTCAACTATAAGCCGAAGATTGACCAGCTGGAGTGTGACCACCAGCTCATCCAGGAGGCGCTCATCTTTGACAATAAGCACACGAACTACACCATGGAGGTAAAGAGGCCCGGCCCTGCTTCCGAGGGAGGACGCCAGGGGCCCTTCCTAGCCTCCACTCAGGATAGCATCTCCCAGTGAACTTGGGTGGAGCGGGAGGAATGCTCTCTCTACCCCTGAAGCTCTGTGCCTTCAATCTGCAGTACCTTCTGGATGCCCCGGAGAACTTGTTGCAAGTGTGCACATCTGGTCCCTAGCTCCAGAATTCAATTAATTTGTTCCGGGGTAGAACTTAATGAATCTTTTGTTTTGTTTTGTTTTTGAGACAGGCTTCTCTGTGTAACCCTGGCTGTCCTGGACTCAGCTTTGTAGACCAGGCCGGCCTTAAACTCAGAAATCCACGTGCCTCTGCCTCTGCTAAGATTTAAAGGCGTGTGCCACCACTGCCCGGCCCATGAAACCTAAATTTTTAGTAAGCACCCCCTGGTGATTTTGATACTAGTAGGCTCAAGAACTCTCTGGCTTAGCTATTCATCTTTAATGATAGCGTGTTGTTTCTAGGTTTGCCTCGTTAAGTGATTTCCTCATTGTTCAAATATCCGAGGCTGCGTAGTTGCCCTGTAACTATGTGGTCACTGAGACTACCATGTTGTATTTGGCCTGTCGTTGACCAGAAGGCCGTTGTGTGCTGCCAGCTGTATTTGTTTTGACCAAAGGCTTATTTGTGGGTGTGTGTGCCCGTATGTGTGGTTGGGAGGTAGGACTTGCCGAGAGGGAGTCATTCCATTTTTTGTTCTTTAGGGTTTTTTTTCCCCCCCGCCACAAAATTTACCTTCCTTCACTAACTGAGTTCCTCTGGCAAATCTGCGTCTCGTTCTTCCAGGCAGAGGCCTGTTCCTTCCTGCCCCTTTCAGGTTAGGGTGTCCTTCTCCTGGTAGAGTGTGCTCTGTCAGTCCCTCTTGATGGTGATACCGTAACTCCAGATAGAAGGTCAAGTTAGCTGTTTTGGCCTTTACAAATAGTGTATTTATTTTACAGCTATGGGTGTTTTGCCTGAGTGTATGTCTGTGTGCCATGTCTGCTCCTGGTGCCCAAGAAGGCTAGAAGAGGGTAAATGCCCTAGAATTTGAATCATAGATGGTTGTGAGCCGCCATATGGGTGCTGACAATAGAACCCGGGTACTCTGGAGGAACAATAAATGCTCTTCACCACCGAGCCATTTCTCTAGCCCCTACTTTGGCCATTTTTGAGTTGGGAGGAGGACTAGCTAGGCAGCCCAGGCCTGGCACTCCTCTCTGACGGGCTCACCACTTTGCTCCTAGCACATCCGTGTGGGCTGGGAGCAGCTGCTCACCACCATTGCCAGGACCATCAATGAAGTGGAGAACCAGATCTTGACCCGGGATGCCAAAGGCATCAGCCAGGAGCAGATGAACGAGTTCCGGGCCTCCTTCAACCACTTTGACCGGGTGAGAGTCCCACTCATTGCTCACCTAGAGTGGCTCCCAACCCCCGACCCAGAGCCCTGGAGGGCACTGCCCAGGGCATGAGCCTGGTCCTGGGGTTAGGTGAGGAGAGAGAGGAAGGCACTGATATAACAGCCTGCCCTGACTTAGTATATCGCTTAGAGCCAGGTGTTCTGAGCTGGCCTTGGAAAGGCTGCCTTGCCCTGTAAGCTTTCATTGCATTCCTATAGAAAATGTGGGCAAAGAGAGGAAAGGTCCTCTTCATTCTTGAGTCTTCCTCTCCTATGAGGAATCAACTCTTGGGAATGAGGCTGCCAGAGCCATAAGTAAAGCCCTGTGGCTGTGGCTGTGGGGACTGCCCCTTACCTCTGCCTTGGGACAAAGGAGCCAAAAGAGACTCTGCCCCTATCCGGGCTGCCTTTGGGACCTGCTATTGGGGGACATTAAAGTCCACTGTCCTGGGTTCTCATGCCCGCTTCAGGACAGGCTGCATTGTCAGTGGGCTGCACATTCCCAGTGCCCTGAGCTTGGGGAAAGCCACAGGGAGGTGGGGCATGGGGTCAGGTGCTCTCCACCCCCTGCCTGCTTCACTGCCCTCCAGGTACCTGGCGAGGCGGGAGGGTAGGGTTCTGGGGAGACATCAGGTAACCTGGGGGCACTTGTGGGAGCTTCTCACCCTTGTGGCTCATCATGTCCCCCTCTGGCCCTGCTTTCCCAAGCAGGACGACGTGTGCCAGGGACAGGGCCCCCCTTCGGAACCTCGTCTGTGTGTCTAACTGTGTGCACTTTTATTTCCCCTCTCCCCTACCCTTTACCCTCCACCCTCTCCATCCGCATGCCTTCGTCCTGTGTCTCCCTACACACACCACCTTCCACCCCCTGGGGCATGGCCCACTCCCACCCCCACCCCCCTCACGGCCTCCTCCTCCTCCTCCCTGGCACCGCATGGCTCGCTGCCTGGCACACCACGGCCCCAGGATCACTCCGGCACGCTGGGTCCCGAAGAGTTCAAAGCCTGCCTCATCAGCTTGGGTTATGATATTGGCAACGACCCCCAGGTACTCGCCTCCTGCATGGAGCACGCTCAAGGGTGGCCTCTGGGGCGAGAAATAACGCATTTCTCCTTTTTTTCTTCTCTCTCTGTCTGAATCTCCCTGTCTCCCTTCCTGTGGGCCATGGGGCTCATCTTCTTTTGCTATCCCTGCCTGCCCCCCTGTCGGGTTTCTCTGACTTCTGACCTCTGCCCTCGGTTATCTTCCCTGGGACCCTGCTTGGGTATCTGCCTCCTCTCCCTCATCACTTCTGATCTGTGGACTACATCTCTTTGCATTTCTTTGCTCTGACCTCCTTTGACCTACCCCTCCTACATTCTTTGGCCTCTTCGTGATTTACATACCGTGAACTGCACCCTTCCTTTCTGCTGTCTTTCTGGCCTCTGGCTGTCTTTTCCTCCTCCCACCTGTCTGTCCCTCCTGTGTCTTGGTGCCACTGCCCCACAGAAGAAGACGGGCATGATGGACACAGATGATTTCCGCGCCTGCCTTATCTCCATGGGTTACAACATGGTAATGTAAACCCCATCTTCTACCTGCCAGGCTCTCTGTTGTCCTGGCCGGGAGGCAGCCACCTGACTGGAGAAGCTAAGTCTTAGTAATGGTGGACCTGAGGCCCTTAGGTTAGAAATATCCTCCCCAGGAGAACCCTGTGTCCCCATCCTTGGGAAGATGGCACCTGGAAACCAGCCCATCCGTGGGGCCAGGGCATGGCTGGAAAGCTTGGTCTCTGAACCAGTTTATCTTATGGTACTTGGTGTGGAGAAAGGTTTTTGTTTTGTTTTGTTTTGTTTTTTTCACTCCCACAGTAGACATCAACTGTGGATGGCCACGCCCAAGACTGATAGCTCTGCTTTGCCTCATGCGAGAATGGAGGTTTATATTTCTGGCCTGATAATAGCTCCATTCATACCTGCCATCCCTTAGTCCTTGACCCAAGCCTTAGTATGTCCCCACTTCAGCTTTCTGAGCAGTACAGGACACATAGCTGGATACATAGGTGGTTCCTGTCCATTGAGCCAAGTGCAGAGCCTATGGGATGCCCAGAGGAGCTAAGGGCTGGGCCACAAGGGTACTCACTAAATCCCGTTTTGGCATTAATAGCTTGTGGTCTCAGATGCAGTGAAGGAAGCCCCACAGAGTAGTTGTAAGAGTCAAATAAAGTGCCCGCAAGTGCTGTGCACAAGTCTGGTACTTAGGAAATTCAGAGTATTAGAAAAACAGCAGATACTGGAGCCAGACTCCCTGAGTCCTAATCCCAACTCCTCTCTACTGCCTGTGTGACCTTGGGTAAGTCAGTTACCTCTCTGGGCCTCAGATTTCCATACCATGGAAATACTGTGATTTTATTTAGTTGTGGTGATGATAAAATGGATTACAAAACATTTAGAATGGTAGCTGGCATATAATACATGCTGTATGCGTATTAGCTGGTACTGCTGTTATTGTCATTATAATTAATGCCACTATTATTTTCTGTAAAGGGAACCCAAGCATCTGTTGGGGGTGGGAAGTCCTGAGTCCCCAACTACTGAGTCTTTATCACACCCTTGGGGCACCCTAAGCCAGATCAGAAGTCTCTTGTGTCCTCCTGTTCCAATCTTAGGCTACTCAGGGCTGGAGGTCCACCTGAGCTGTTACAGTAGGCCATTAGATGACAGGTGTGGATTGACTGTTTCCTCCAGGGAGAGGCAGAATTCGCCCGCATCATGAGCATCGTAGACCCCAACCGCCTAGGGGTAGTGACGTTCCAGGCCTTCATCGACTTCATGTCCCGAGAGACAGCCGACACGGATACGGCAGATCAGGTCATGGCATCCTTCAAGATCCTCGCTGGAGATAAGGTGGGTCTCTTATGGCTCCTCTGGCACTGCTTAGGCTCTCGTCTGTTGGGCTGGGATAAGAGCATCTCATCAGGGTCTCCTTAGGCCTGGCTGTAGTGCATCTCTGCCTAGCCTGTAACCCCTTGGGCTCAGTTAAGGTGCCAGGACATGGTTATCGGCTTAAGGAACACAGCAGGTCATCAAAAGCTGCTTGTACAAAATGAGGGAGGCAAAGGCAGAGAGAGTGGTTTGGAGTGTGTAGTTGGGATGAGTCCTGTCACCTTGTAGGATCCTCAGAACCCACCTACTTGAAATGACTAATTTTGTAAAGGAAGAACGCCCAGAGAGGGGAAGTGGTCACCTGACTTCCAGGAGTGACCGGAAGGTAGCCCACTCCTCCTTACACTGGGTCCCAGGGGACTCCCAGTTGAAGGGTTTGGAGCTGTGAGTTAAGTCCTAATGCTGTGACCCTTTAATACAGTTCCTCATCTTGCAGCGACTCCAATCATAAGATCATTTTCGCTGTTACTTTTATGAATCGTAATGTAAATATCTGGTATGCAACCACTGTGAAAAAGCTCATTCGACCCCCAAGTTGAGAACCGCTGTCCTAGGCCGTTCAGCTCCTAAAATTAGCAGTTTCCAAGTTTATTTACCTACTGGGAAAAAAATGGAAATTCAGAGGCCCAGGCTGGGAGCTGGCTGAGGTGTACGGCAAGGCATACACTTTTGCAGAGCCATTGAGAAAGTGGCCTGTAGCTGTGATGTCTAAACTGAACATTCATTTTACTCTGCTGGACACTCCTTAAGAGTAGACACTGATGGAGGTCTTTAGAAGGGGTCAGTTGAAAGGGTGTGGAATTTATGTATTCTGGCAGAGGACCTGTTGATACTGAACCAACACGTGGTTCTTATAAACCAGTAGGATGAATGAAAAGAATCAGTTTGAAAATAATTTAGTTTGGAAGGAAGTTGAAGTAGATACTGAAATGCAAAGCATGGAGTTTTAAAAAATATATAAATACGATATATAGTATATAAATAAATAGTATGCACTTAAAATATATATGTACATACACACAGATATTTCTGTTGCATGTATTGTATGGATCAAGGAGAACTAGGAGAGATTTAAAAAAAAAGTTCCCTAACATTACTGGCAAGTTTGCGACCTAATATTTGCGGCAGTGCCGCGTTGCTTTCCGGCCACTGCTGAGCTTTGCGACCCTGACCACGCTTTCTCCGCAGAATTACATCACGGTGGATGAGCTGCGGCGGGAGCTGCCCCCTGACCAGGCCGAGTACTGCATCGCGAGAATGGCCCCCTACATGGGCCCCGACTCCGTGCCCGGTGCTCTAGACTACATGTCCTTCTCCACGGCGCTGTACGGCGAGAGTGACCTCTAACCCGTCCCTGCCTCCCCCACCCTGGCCCTTGCGCGTGCGCTCTGCCCTGCTCCTCCTCCTCCGCCCAGTCCTCCGCCTGTCCGGGTTTGGTTTCAGCTCAGCCACCAAGGGGACTAGCTGCGACCCAGGCGGCACCGACCCTCTCTGCCCGCAAAGTGACAGTTTACAAAATTATTTTCTGCAAAAAAGGAAAAAAAAAAAAGTTACGTTTAAAAAAAGTTTAAAAAAAAAAACAACCAAAAAACTACATATTTTATTATAGAAAAAAGTATTTTTTTCTCCACCAGTCTTAAATGGAAAAGAGGAAAAATTAACTATTTGCACCGAAATGTTTTTGTTGTGACATAGGAAAATAACCAAGCACAAAGTTTTATTCCATTCTTTTTACTGATTTTTTTCCCTTCTACCTGTTCCGTCTGCTGTATTCATTTCTCCAATCTCATGTCCACTTGGGGGTGGGGTAGGTGGGTAACTCTTGTCAAAGGCACATTGGTGCATGTGTGTTTGCTAGCTCACTCGTCCATGAGAATATTTTATGATATTAAAGAAAATCTTTTGAAATGGCTGCTTTTCGAAGAAGATAATTCATAGCTTCTCGTTTTCAAGCCTCCTCAGAAGTGTGGCTGGCCTGTTTTCTCGATGCAGACTTTTTTTTAAAAATTTGAATATTGCCCTATTAAAGATAGGGCAAGCTTGGAGATTATGATGTTGCTTGGCACAGACTGTATTAAAACAACACTCCCGTGACAACACTTTGCTCCTTTTGCTGACTTCCAGAGGCGGGGGTGGGCTGTGTCGAGAATGGCGTGGGTAGTACCCACGCACCTCTAGGTTCTGAGCCTGGTATGTTCGGTCTTGATTATTTTGAAGAGGAAAAGATGGTCTCCTTGACGTACCGGGAGTTGAAAGGTCATGAATGCATGAGGGACCCCGTGATGATGAGCCCAGCTCTCTTTGTTCTCTGTAGTATCTCTGACTTCTGTATGCCCCTCCACAACTACTTTATTTCCACCTCGGGGGACAGTTTTGGATAATGTCAGGGTTGTGGTCTCCTTTCCTACTCTAAATGTCCCATAGAGGGCTGGGGCTATAGCTCGGTGGCAGGGTATGTGATGAGCATGTGCTGGGCACTGAATTCAGCCCCCAAAACGTAGGACAGATAGCAGCCGTTTAGCATCTCAGGGAGCTCATTGATAAGCTCCAGCTTATGTATATTCTAAGAATACATAGTGCTGTGTTATTAGAAGCCCCGCCTCCTTTCTTCCTACCCCCCTCTTCCTTGAGGCTTTGGCACAGTGAAAATGACCGTATGGTTAAGAGGATTTGGTGAGCAGAGTTACGTAGGTATGTCTGGGAGTTTGGCCTGGAGTCAGTTTTTAAGTCAGTGGCTGTGCCTCCCCAAAATGGTGAGCTGGCACTTAAGTGTCGCTGTTAGGAACGTGGTGGTAAGCAGAGTGCAGAGAGCACCGGTATGTATGTGTGCTGGCTGTGGCCAGTCTAGGTTCCGTTTTAAGGAATCCGTTCAGTTGGAAGGATCACTTAAAAGTTGGCCAGTGGGTCCCATGGGATGGCTCAGTGAGTAGAGGCCCCTTGCCAAGCCTGGAGGCCTGAGTGTGATCCCTGTAACGCACAAGGTGGAGAGAACCAACTCTCAGAAGTTGTCCTCTGGCACCTGGGTTGTGCACACATGTTCTCACACACTGAATAAATAAATGGTTTCCTCTTTCTTTCTTTCTTTCTTTCTTTCTTTCTTTCTTTCTTTCTTTCTTTCTTTTCTGTCTTCCTTCCTTTCTTTCTTCCTTCCTTTTTTTCCTTCCTTTTTCCTTCCTTCCTTCCTTCCTTCCTTCTTTCCTTCTTTCCTTCTTTCCTTTCCTCCTTTCTTTCTTTCTTTTCTTCAGTTAAGGGGACGAAAGCCATCAGAACTTTCTGGGCTAGGCTACAGAAGTCTACGGTGAAACCCTGTAGGGATTGGTTTGGGACATTCTGGATCACTCAGCCTAGGGAAGAGCCTGGCCACTGGGCCACTGAGAGGTGAGGCAGTACATTTGCCTTGGGAAGCACTTGTGTTTGCTGTTGAATGGTAGCAAGGTCAGTAGATACTCCAAGAGTATCTATGTGGAGAAAGCCATAGAAGTAGGCTGGTCCTGGTTTCAAAACCTTGAGAGGGCAGACATGCTTGTCCTTAGCTAGTTTTTGTGTGCAAATTAGCTAAAGATAAGTACTGGAGTTCAGAGGAAGAAATTGTTCCAACTGAAAGTTTCCCAGACCCAGGATGTAAGTGTTTTGTTGCTCTACTTTCCAAAATGCTTTTTAAAAAAATTATATATTTATATATATATATATATATATATATATAATTTTTTTTATCATTTTTTTATTTTTTTTTCCCCAAAAGCATTTGTTTGCTGTACTGCAGCAAGTACAAGAAGGTCACAGGATTATCAAGCTTGGTGGCAGGGGTCTTTACTGGGTGGCTAGCCCCTTCTCAGTGCTTTTTTTTTTTTTTTTAAACAATCATGTATAGTGTGATTTATCTTGTGAGACTGGTCTTTTAAAGGATCCTGAGTTGCTAGTTAACTGGTCCTTTGGGGTCTAGCCTTTAGAACTGCTTGACTGTATGACCTCCCGTGTTGGTTGCCTCTTGGACTTCTGGGAACAGGGGAGTCTATTAAAAAGCCAGCAAAGGCTGAGAGAGAGATTTGAGTAGAGGGAGAAGAGAAGACAGTTGATGCACGAAAGAAGAATGAGTTAGAGAAGAGGAAGCTGTTGAGGCAGGGAAGATGTTGTTAGGAGACAGAAGAACCCAGGAAGAACCCATAAAGCAACAAAAGAGAGGCTACAGTCACGAAAGTCATTTGAACAAAAGTGTGCCCACCGGCTTATCCCATAAATTGCTTTTTAGTCTGTTGAAGGTAAAAACTTAAACCTGGGTTTTCTGTCAATGCTAAGCATGGACCTGGGGCCTTGTAGGAATCAGACAAGCTCTCTGCCACTGAGTTCCCTAACCACCCGCCTTAGAACAGGCTTTTAAAGTCACCATACACATCTTGTGGTGTTGTAAATTTGTTCATTTTAACAGATTTAGTTCCTCTCCCTAAACAACCCCTTTGGCAAGCCTTCTTAAACCTCTTTGAACATTGTAAACCACACAAGTTTCAATGGCTTCCCCCAGGGTATTGAACTTCAGACTTCAGTGTATCCAAGTTAAGCAGTGACGTCTTGCTCAGCACAAAGCCACTAGAAGTGTTATAAACGTAATAAATCAGTTCCCGAGAGCAATCTAATGCTGCTGTACTAACTGATTCCCTTTCGCTTCCAAAATGAAGTTCACATGCCTGACTTAGTCCCATACTTTAGACTAAAAGCACAAAGCCAGTGCATGCCAGCCCCTTTTGCTCGATCATGCACTTTAACCCAGTTTGTCATGATGGGGACAAATGAAACACCACCAAAGTTTCAGTTGTTTCACCTGTTTTTTTTTGTTGTTGTTGTTGTTGCTGTTGTTGTTTGTTTGTTTGTTTTGTTTTTTAAATTAGATTCAATGTCCTGTACCACTTGTTTTCTCTTCTGAGTTGTTCCATATCACATGGACTTTGTAAACTGCCCCAAGATAACCCTCTTTAGGGCTGTTGCACCCAAGGTCGTTCAGGGTGGACTCCATCTCTTAATGGACATTGTCTGCTCTGGCCCAGGTGGTCCAGCCTGCCTGTCATCTGACCTGTGTCACTTGCTCTTGGCTTCTTTTGTATTTTATCCTTGTCCATTTTGGGTCACTAGTCCAGCTTACTGTAAATGTTGGGTGGGTGGCACAGGTTCCTCTGTCCATGGGAGACATGGTAGCATCTTTTTCCTGTCTGTGTGGATGGCACATTTTAACTTTACATCTCCATCTATCTCAGACCCCCACCTCTCTGGAGACTGTTGACAGCTCCATGAGGCTGGTCTGTGAAAATGGCATCTCTCTGACTCCCCAGCACCTTAGCAACCTCTAATGACTGAGCACCCAGCTTCACTCAGTGCTGTTTCCATTGCTAGGACCATCTTTAAACTTCCCTCTCGGCACAAACTCAGCACCTAAAGAATGCAGTCACTTGGCTAGTAAGGACAGATTATGTCAGGCAGCTTTCTTATCATTGTGATGAAATTCATGGAGTAATCACTTTATAAGAGAGATGTTTGGCTCTCAGTTCCAAGGGGTCCAGTCCATACTCACTTGGTCCTGTGGCCTCTGGGCCTGTAGCAAAACAGCATGAGCTGCTGAGTACATGCTGAAGGAGGTCTGTGCTCAGCCAGGAGGCAGAGACTTCCTTCTACAAGACTCCATCTCCTAAGGCTCTCACCACTTCCCCATCATGCCCCAGGGTCGTCAATGCATGGCCTTTGGGGGGAATATCGGATCTAACACCACAGCAGCAGGAGGGAGAGTGGCAGCTTCTTCAGAGGTAGAGAGGAGGCATTGGAGGTGTGGCCATGTCCACCTTCTGTTGCATCCACAGGTGGGAAGGCTACTGTCTAAAAACAGGCTCAGACAACTGTGTCCACACAGGGGGACCCATCTTAGTAACGTGATTAACCAGCCAATTCGAAGATAACATGGTGGAGTACAGGATGTCACAGTGCAGGAGTGAGGATCTGGAGAGCCCACTGAGGTCCTGCTTTCTCTTGCTGTTGGCCTTTCCCATCAAACTGGTGTCCCTTCTGTCCTTGCAGTCCCGCCTTCTGTGCTCCTGACTCCCCGGGGACAGAGGCTCACCCCACAGAAGCTGCTGCCAATCCCAAGTTTCTAGAACATGTGCGGCCTGGTCTGTTTGATTCAAAATGCCCATCAGTAATGACGCCGGGGACTGTTGCTCACGGGGTAGGTAGGGTGTCATCCAGCTACCCTAGAAGGGGACCCTGTCAGAGCTATTTCAATTTCCAGTCTTGGCAGCTCTGAAATTGAGGTACAACTTGTCAGTCTCACCAGATTCCTTCAGTAATGCTGTCGAAGCTCGCAGAGTGGGCACTGAGAAAGAGCGGGGTCCTGGATAACCTCCTGACTGTCACACGCAGAGCTCTGGAAAGGAAGGTGTGGACAACCGTGCTTCAAGACTGACAGGGTTGGGCTCTGAGCTTGATGAAATGATAACACAGCTGTTGTCTGCGTACATGACGAAAATACCAAAATAGGTCAAAATGAGGTTTGTGATAAGCATTGAGTATAATATATGAATAAAACTAAAGGTGAAGGCACCGTGTTGCAGTTTAACCGGCCACACTTGCTTTTGTCTTTTGAGACAGGGCCTCATGTGACCTAGTCTGGCCTTGACTTTGCTAACAGCTCAGGAGAGTTGCTATTGACCTCTACAGGAGGTCTCCCTCAGAAATAAAAAATGAAATAAAAAAAATTAAAAGCCAGCTGGGCAGTGGTGATGCACACCCTTAATCCCAGCACTTGGAAGGCAGCGACAGGCACATCTCCAAGTTCAAGGCCAGCCTGGACTACAGGGTGAATTCCAGGATAGCCAGGGCTACACAAAGAAACCCTGACTTGAAAAACAAACAACAATAATAAATAAATGAACA